AAAAAAAAAAAAAAAAAAGATGTGAAAGGAGAAATTTATCCTGGAATATCTGATTGGGTCTTAAATGCAATCACATTTATCCTGATGAGAGGCAGGAGTTCTGAGACAGAGAAGACCATGTGAAGACAGAGCAGGAAGAGCTGAGGCCACAAGATGAGACTGACAACCAGAAGCTGGAAGAGGCAAGGAAGGGACTCCACCCTCGGGCCTCCAGAGGGGGCTCAACACCTTGACTGCAGATTTTTGGCCTACAGAGTTGTAAGAATAAATTCCTATTGTTTGAAAACCACTAAGTTTGTGGTAATTTGTTCCAGGAGCCACAGGAAACTAATACACAGGGGAAATAAAATTTTTAAAAATCATAAACTGGATATATATAAAACCAATTCCTGATCCAAAAAGAATTGTGCTCCAAGTAACCCAAAGAATGCCTAAAACCTTTAATCCCTCATTTCAAAGGGTAAATTGAAGCAATCAGGGAATGTAATTTTCCTCCCAAAATACTGGCAGATCCAGGAAGACAAACTCAGCGAGGTCTAGTATTTACATAGCTGCTAACAAGAACAGTGTAGGTTTTTCCCCAAACATGTTAGCTGGTAGAGCTCCTGGACAGACTAAACATAGGCACCAGTTGTCACTGTGGGTGTTCTGCCAACACAAGTGTAAAGTTGTCATCAGAAATGAATATGTGGCTTCGAGTAGCTTACAGAAATCCAACAAAGCTGTATCTTGGACTCTGCACAAGCCAACTCTTCTCAGGATGACCTGGACTCTTTCCCATTAGTACAATGATCAGTTAAAGGCATCCTTTATAAGGAGGAAAGGAAAATCAAAGTTATGTCAGGGAAAAAAGATAATTGCCCAGAGTCCAAGTTCATGAATAACAACGTGTAAATAACAGCCATACTAAGTCGGTTACAAGTGATAGCTCACATTGTAATTCACTACTCTTAAAATCAATATCCACAGCACACAGCTTTAAGCCCAATTTCATGTAAGGTAAATGGAAATAAAAATAGACTGAGCAAAAAACAAGGAAAGGAAAGAGATGCTTTACCGAGAATTATTAAATGGGCTATTCCAGTAAGATATATAAATCGTGCTTTGTGGTTAAATTATATAACTTAAATCAAAAATGCTAATCTAATCTTCCTCAGAAATCTTTGTATCCTATATGCCTTTTCTCTTTTCTAGAGCCACTATCAAGGGGTCTGAAAACCACCAAAACTTTCCTATACATATTAAAATCCAGTCACTGCAGAGGCATGTTCTTTCTTTCTTTTTTGCCCCAACCATCACCCCGCTCACCTACTACCCAGATCGCTTTCTTTGTATTGGTTTTCAGACAGACCAGTGAAGATGTGTTATTTTCCCTTTCAGGTTTGGTGGCAATAGTATACCCCCAAGTTCTAAGCATAACCACTTGAAACTTAATTTTTGTAACATAAGCTAAACATCTTGTTTTATTAACACACCGGTACAAATGAACAACCAGACCAGGTTCTCTGATGGCAAGAAATAAGCCTAAACTTAAGATTTTCAATCTGATAGTCTCCGAATTTCAATGAAAAATTACCCACCAGAGAGAGAAATGTTCATCAGACCTATTAACTGACATTGTAAGAGAATTCACAAAAAAGCAATTTGTACTTGCATACCACAGTAAACCAAGAAGCCTGTATTCAAATCCTGAAATCTTTCAAATTAAAATATATCACTAAAATCGTCACAAACGGACCACAGGTTAATTTGTTTATAAATCCAAGCAGCTCAGGCTGGAGATAGAAGGAATCCATTCAGAGTAATGTAAGAAGCATGATTTGGTTCTTTCTTCAGATCAGCTTTTTTTCCCCAAACTGTGAGTTTAGGGCCATGAAATCAGCAGAAACTGACCTCTATTTCTAAGAAAATGAAATCGTGTACTGCAGATGAGAAAATACCAAAGTGCTTTGCACGTGTATTTATATAGTAAAGCCTATTTCAATATGTGTACAGGGTCAGGGTAAAACTCTCTGATCCAAAAGAATTCAGTAAAGGAAAGAGGTTTAAAGCAGGCAAAAAATCTAAGAAGCATCCAACGCAAGGTCCACCTTCTTACAAAAAATATTTGCTAATATTTTAGGAAGCCAAACAAACACTGGATGCAATCGTGTTTAAACTTCAAGAAATGGTAAAAATTTAATGAAATTGTCCTTTTATCCAATGGAACAAAGATCACTCTACATATGAAGAGATATCCATTAGGATTTAGTGATCCATTCACCAAAGACTACTTTCTAAACACTTTACCGGTCTTCTTCGTCTAATTTCCAATTATTAAAATGAAAGATTTTGACAAAAATTTCAGCATCTATCATTTTATTTATTTTTATGTTTTAAAGTAATCTCTACACCCAAGTTGGGGCTGGAACCTATGATCCTGAGATCAATAGTCACATTCCTCCACTGAGTGAGTCCCAGCTCCCAGCATATCATTTTAAATCAACGTGTTTTTTTTTTTTTTTTAAAGTTTCTTTATTTTTTAGTAATCTCTACACCCAATTTGGGGCTCAAAGTCATGACCCTAAGATCAGGAGCATATGCTCCTCCAACCAAATCAGCCAGGCACCCCTAAATCAAAGGTTTTCAACTGAGGAAGATTTTGCATCACCACCACCAACAACCCCAGGACATCTGGCAATGCGTGGAGACATTTTGATAGTCACAAATGGAGGTGACGGATGAGGTGAGATGCATTTGTTGGCTCAAAATGTCAACATGATGAGGTCAAGAAACCCTGTAATAGATCAAGATGGTATTCCTTTTAAACCTAAATAAAATACAGATAGATAACCTTAATCTGTATCTTTCTTTATAAACTAAGCAGAAAAAAGTGCATAATTAGCATACCTACAGTTTACAACCAAATATGAAATAAATTTGTCTTCTTGCCAAGTGTCAGAGACTCTCTCCTCCGGGCAGCTAAACTTTCTTTTGTACAATGTCACAAAGGTCTCTAATCAGAAGCTTACTTCATATGTAGTTGAACTTATTAACAGTACTTCTATTAACCTTAAATACATCAGTGAACAACAACAGAGCAATTTAGATTCTTATATGGCCATTATGTAATGAAAATGTCACTATTTTACTGAAACATCTTCAAATCAGCTGACTGGGTATTACCAACAGGTGATTACAGCTCCTGTAAAATAAATATTTTGAAGGAAATATAATCAAAAGGCAATGGAATAATCCAGGTGATGGATGAGTCCTGTCTCTAACACCTTAAATATCCCCCTTGTTAAGCAACTTCCTTATCAAAATCCAGACATCTTCAAAGGAAGAGAAGAAAGAGAGCTTAGAAACTCTTTAGTGGTGTAAAGAAAGATCTACATGGGGGGGAAGGCGTCAGAGACAAAGATAAAGGCACTGAGACATGAATAATGCTTGTAAGGCGCTTAGTTTAGCCTGTCTAGTAGGTACTAAGTAGTCAAATAAACGTTACCTTTTTAATATTTGTATTTTTATACTGAGGATCACCTTAGTTCTTAGGGGAAAAACAACTCTATCGAGGTGTAAGGATAAAAGAGGCTGTGAGAAGCCCGTGATTATGACTGGAAACACAAAAGTTGACTTTTTAATCTAATCTTTATTTAATCACAAATTACGATCCCTGAAAAGGCTTAAACAGCAGACACCAACCTGCCTAGATCCCACTCTGTCTATAGAGGTAACACACTTCGGTATGTAGCCTTCCAAAACTTTTTCTGGATTTACAAATACCCATTTGTCCGTGGAAAGGTGCTTCACGATGCAGATTTTTCTCGGGTGCCTTTCCACGACAGTATAGATTTATCCTACTGGTTCTAACATTTCAAGTCAGTCTTCCTAAAGAAGCGAGGTCCCAAAGACCTACCTTGCTCCCCTCAAAACCAAAAGTGTGGGGACAGAACTTATAGTTTCCCTACAAGAAAGGTGTATGGGACGGAGGCCTAAAGGATTCGTTAGAGAAGTCACAGCGGATAAAATATGCGCTGCCGCGCCATCACAGGCATTGAATCCCCTTCTTCACAACCTCTAATGTTAAGACCTCCCTCTTCTGGACCGCTGATTGGACGACCTGCCCGAGCGCTTCCCGTAGGCTATCCGTCTACTGGCTCCAAATTTGGTCCATCCATTTAACCGCCCGACTCCCGCATTCCCCATTGGAGTCAATCCGCTGCCTCTTGGATGAGCCCAACCTACCGCGCGCTCCGTGCTCATTGGCTCAGGGAGCCGCTGCTCAGGAGCGGGAAACCCGCCTCCCACATTCCGATGGCCCAAGGACCGATCAGTCGGCAGCTAAGGGCGGACCCAATTGGCCTAAACACAAGCCAGTCAAGCCCTCCGGCGGCACAGCGCCACAGAACTTACAGGAATAAAACATCCCGCCCCTGTTCTTCCATTGGTTGGCCGGACCCACCGCTCCCCCTTCACGAGCCCCCACCCCGCGGTCCATTCATTTCACACAATAACGGGCCCAATTGGAGTCAGTTCAAGACCTCGTATGGGTAGGCAAGACTATCCGTCACTTACCCGGAATCGACACCGATCACTCACGCAAACGTCTTCCCTGTTCCTCTGTGGTGAAGCAGGACCACAAGACAGTGCCGCCGCCGCCTTCTGCGCAACGCCAACCGCCCGCCAAAACGGATCCTTCCCTGCGCCTGCGCGACCAATCCTGGGACCGTACCCTTTCTCCGCCCATTACGCCTGCGCAAAACGAGGCACAACTCCCGCCACTACGCAAGCGCTGTAGATTCGCCGCCGTCTCCCGCCCGCCATTTCACGTGTTCCAAGCGCCCAACGGAACTTCTTAATGCGCTTGCGTAAACTCGCCATTTTACTACACATGCGCTTAGTGGGCGGTCGTTGCAAAAAAAGAAAGAAAACAGTCACCTCATAACTTCTTTCCTAATACATAGTATTAATCATGTTTTGCCAAGTGAGTTGAGCGTAATTTCGGGGCGCGAAGGACTGAAAAATTATTTAAATACCTTAGATACATTCAAATATGAATGATTGGTTGGCGAGCCAATCACACTGGCTAAGAGTAATATTGTTCAGGAACCAATGAACACTAAGGGGTGGAGACTGCGTAGAACGCCCAAACGGATGACGTTACACAGCAATGCGGCACTACAGACCAATAGCAGGGGGGCAGCTACTGCAAATATCCAATCAGAGACACTCAGGGGCGGAGTCTACCAATGCCTAAAGCGAGGAGGCGGGATAAAAAAGCGAGGCAGAAGGTAGGCTGGTAGATACGTTCGTTAGATTACTCCTTTCTGCCCGTGGACGCCGCCGAGTAAGCATCGTGAAAGTCTCCCCTCCCACCGCCGTCATGTCTAAGTCAGAGGTGAGTAACACGCTCTCTTCGGCCTAATTTTCTTTCTCGCTGTTACTGAATTCGGTAGGATGTGGTTTGGTTTGGCTGCTTGCGCCGGCTCTGGCTCGGCATTTCTTCCGTTGCTGCCAAGGGCCTACCCCTCCCAAAGTTCGGGTCGCCATTTTGTCCTCGTCGTCGCCATGAGGCCGCCGTCTTGCAACACTTAGTTTTCACTCCGGGCTTGTTCCTCCTGGCAAAACCCTTATGCATGTTCGATTGTTTTGTTTCGTTTTATTTTTTCACCTTGTATCAGGGGACGATTTTCTTAAGGAGCAGATGTAGTTCTCTATTGGCTCTGTATTCTTCCAGCTCCGTCCTTTTGTTGCGCGTGCGTCGGAGGGAGAGTTGGGACGCATGCGCTCGGGGCTTCCCAGCCCCCAACATATCGTCTCCCCTAATGGGGAGAAGCACGTGGCTTGCGGCGACCCAAAGGAACAATAAGTACTATGTATCATTGTCGTGTAGCTTTGCTTCTCCTAACTGGAAGCTTTTTTGTGTTGTAACCCCCCCACGTAATGATTTTTTCCCCCGACTCCTAGTCTCCCAAAGAGCCTGAACAGCTGCGGAAGCTTTTCATTGGAGGTTTGAGCTTTGAAACAACCGATGAGAGTCTGAGGAGCCATTTTGAGCAATGGGGAACGCTTACGGACTGTGTGGTAAGACTTAGAAGAGACAAAAGGCCAGTAGGACTAGTTGATTTCTTTGGATTATCTTGTTGTGATTACTTGTGAAGATTGTTAACGGGATTATAGTTGAAAATAATCTGGCAAGGGAAGGTGTGGCTTTAGCTGATTAGAGGCTCCCTTGTTAATTTAGTGGGAAACTGAAGGGCCTTGTATTTACTCATGGTAGAAATGACAGTAGTCTCTGGGGTTTTATTATGTAGTAAATTTTATTAACGTTTCAGGTAATGAGAGATCCAAACACCAAGCGCTCCAGAGGCTTTGGGTTTGTCACCTATGCCACTGTGGAAGAGGTGGATGCAGCCATGAATGCAAGGCCACACAAGGTGGATGGAAGAGTTGTGGAACCAAAGAGGGCTGTCTCGAGAGAAGTGAGTGATCTAGTTCTTTTCTCGGTTATTTAAAAGTGTGCCACTAAGCGGACTTTGCGTTTGGGGATGTTAAACTTCTTAATGATCTTGATTAAGGATAGTTTTATTGGGAAGTAAATTAATTGGGCTTTCTCATTAGGATTCTCAAAGACCTGGTGCCCACTTAACTGTGAAAAAGATTTTTGTCGGTGGCATTAAAGAAGACACTGAAGAACATCATCTAAGAGATTATTTTGAACAGTATGGGAAAATTGAAGTGATTGAAATCATGACTGACCGAGGCAGTGGCAAAAAGAGAGGCTTTGCTTTTGTGACCTTTGATGACCATGACTCTGTAGACAAGATTGTCAGTAAGTCTCCGGGGCATGCAACTCGCTAAGGTTTCTGAAACCCGTGCTGTATTCTAGTCTTTGAGATTGTGTTCTCTTTGAAAATTTTTTTAGTTCAAAAATACCATACTGTGAACGGCCACAACTGTGAAGTAAGGAAAGCTTTATCTAAGCAAGAGATGGCTAGTGCTTCTTCCAGCCAAAGAGGTGAGTTTGTTTAATTAGATCTTACAGGCAACGAAGTCATTCGAATCTGTAGGTTTAACACTTCAAACTTCTCTTTCAAGGTCGAAGTGGTTCTGGGAACTTCGGTGGTGGTCGTGGAGGTGGTTTTGGTGGGAATGACAACTTTGGCCGTGGAGGAAACTTCAGTGGGCGAGGTACGTGTGGTTATATATAGTTTGCTGAAAATTAATAGTAAGCTTGTCATTTGACAATCCCCAGATAACTTGTCCACTTGCAACCTATGGTGGGTGTACCTATGGGCCAGCTTTTCCAAAGTTCATTTTTATCCAGGTGTTGTGGCTTCTTACTGGAGGGTTAAGTCTTCAGTATAGAAATCATTTTTGTGACCCAGGGGGGGTTTCAGAAAACTTGAATTTAGGAAGGGTATAATTTGTATGCAGCCAATACACCTCAGAAAGTGGTTAAAAAAAACTCTACTTTTTTCCAGGTGGCTTTGGCGGCAGTCGAGGTGGTGGTGGATATGGTGGCAGTGGGGATGGCTATAACGGATTTGGTAACGATGGTAAGTTTATCTTGGGTACGTAGGTGAAAAGTTTGTTTTGGAATCTCTAGAGTAGGGTAGTAGAGCTAAAGTAGTGCATGACCAGCTCAGCTCTGACCGTAACCGCATGCTGTGAGCAGGCTTTTAGGTGTTACACTTGCACAGGTTTTGATTGTTGAATACTTTTGTCTTATTGAGAAGAATTGTATTCTTGTAGGTGGTTATGGAGGAGGCGGCCCTGGTTACTCTGGAGGAAGCAGAGGCTATGGAAGTGGTGGACAGGGTTATGGAAACCAGGGCAGTGGCTATGGCGGGAGTGGCAGCTATGACAGCTATAACAACGGAGGAGGCGGAGGCGGCTTTGGCGGTGGTAGTGGTAGGTATCCAGTGATCCAAGTACTTGGTGCAATAGTTAGATTAGCTCTTTAGAGTTTATGATCATAAGGGGATTTGATGCTCTTAAAAAGCATTATGTGGTGCAATGCATGGTGTTCTTTTTTAACGGGCTTGCTAATGCTACCTCCTAGCTTTAAGCTGGGGCCGCCTCACTCCCAAATAAGATAGATGGATAAGTGGATAGTCCTGTCTTTAATCAGAATTAGATTAGCTTCCAGCAGGATTTAGTTGTCTTAACTCCCTTGGGATCCTAGGCACTTAGTTGATACATCCAGCATGTGTTTGCAGTGCCCCGGATGGGCACAGACCTTCAAGCCTACAGAGTATATTGCTATTATGCCATGGTAAGTTGGGTAAATTTTATTAAAAGTATGGTTATTCAACTGAGTGCCTTGCCCAGAAAAGGATGATTGGAGCCACCAGAGTTTGGGAGGAAGGCAAGCAGATCATGCAACATTTTTTGCTCTGAGCACTAAATAGAATTCAGAACTTAACCATCTTCTCCAAATAACAAATAAAGGTCCTCTTTCCATTTCTAGGAAGCAACTTTGGAGGTGGTGGAAGCTATAATGATTTTGGCAATTACAACAATCAATCTTCAAATTTTGGACCCATGAAAGGAGGAAATTTTGGAGGCAGAAGCTCTGGCCCCTATGGTGGTGGAGGCCAATACTTTGCCAAACCACGAAACCAAGGTATATATGTTTATTAGAGGGTGAGGGTACCCATAACCAGGTCCAGTAATTTTGGGGTGAGGTGTGTGTAGACCGTGAAAAGCTACAATCTAAAAGCTTTTCAGATTGGGAAAATCATGTGCGCCCGATCTCAGATCTGAGGCTTTATTGCCCCTGATACAAAAAGTGTTTCTATTTGTGCTTCCAAAGCTTAAAGGGACAAATTCTATTCTTAGGTGGCTATGGCGGTTCCAGCAGCAGCAGTAGCTATGGCAGTGGCAGAAGGTTTTAATTACTGCCAGGTAAGTAAACATCTTTTTATGTTTGAAGTTAACTTTTATAAATGATGATGAATCCAGTAACCCTAATATAGCTGAGCAGTGCAACATAGTTAACATTATAATTGCAGTAAAATTGTGGATATTAAGTTAATATTCAGATCAGCAAAATTTGTGGGAAACAAAACTTGCTATTGGATTGTAGCCTTGAGTCTTAATATGTTTAGATTAACAACTTTATTCCATATTGTTCAACAGGAAACAAAGCTTAGCAGGAGAGGAGAGCCAGAGAAGTGACAGGGAAGCTACAGGTTACAACAGATTTGTGAACTCAGCCAAGCACAGTGGTGGCAGGGCCTAGCTGCTACAAAGAAGACATGTTTTAGACAATACTCATGTGTATGGGCAAAAAACTCGAGGACTGTATTTGTGACTAATTGTATAACAGGTTATTTTAGTTTCTGTTCTGTGGAAAGTGTAAAGCATTCCAACAAAGGGTTTTAATGTAGATTTTTTTTTTTGCACCCATGCTGTTGATTGCTAAATGTAATAGTCTGATCATGACGCTGAATAAATGTGTCTTTTTTTAAATGTGCTGTGTAAAGTTAGTCTACTCTGAAGCCATCTTGGTTAACTACCCCAACAGTGTGAAGTTAGAATTCCATCAGGGTGATGCCAGGTTCCATTTGAAATTTATTTGCAACCTGCTTGGGCACAGAAGCCATTGTCTCCACAAACATTGGTGTGGTTGAACTGACAGTTAATGTGTTGTGACCTGGAGTTCACCGTTAAAAGGGTCACCCAAGCAAAGTCCTGGAGTTTATTTGGTTATTAATATGATTGTTGGCACATCCTATGCAATATATCTAAATTGAATTATGGTATCAGATAAAATTATAGATGGGATTAAAGCTTGTGTATCGTCCATTATCATGTGTAATCAATAAACGATTTAATATTCTCTTGAATGGAATGACAACTGTATGGATTTGGGACTGGCAGAGCTTTGGACTTTCCCTACCCACTACCCCTCATAATGTTGAATGCTTCTATCACAATTCAAGTTCAAAACTCTGCCAGAGAATAGAAACCAGCTGCTGGCTAATGCCACCCCATAAGTCCACAGATTAGAAGTGTTTGGGAGACCTTTTTAAACTGACCAGCACCAGTAAGAATATCTTCTTTTTAATACAAAAACAGGCTTACATTAAAGGAAAACAGCAGTTTTGTGGTTGGGTGGGTCCTTAATAGAGGTCTATAGATTAACTGTACTAATTACCGATTTGGACATTAAAATTGCGGAGATGGGGAGGCAACTTACTATATTCACGCTAACTGCAGTTTTCCTTTAAATATGGTACATCACACAACCATCCTAAAATGTTAATTGTATAGAAAATGATTTCTGAAGCCTTTTTAACAGTCACTTAATATCCAATCATTGTTATTTGTTACATAGGTTCTTTTGAGCCCTCCCTTTGGTACCCTCAATTTCAGTGCCATTGTACCTGGTAGCATAGAGAATTGTTTATCACTAGGACTGTGTATTCCCTCCCAATTTCGTGGGTGTGTTACTTGGAAGTTTGGGGAGGAGGGCGGAGGGGGGAGCGGGTGGGAGGTGGGTGGGAAAGCATGGGTGATAGTTCCGTGAGTTTGATATTGGCTGAGTTTGCAATGGCAGGTGGAACCTTAACTATTGAGGGAGTTTGCAGATACCTCAGGATTCGTGACAATGCCTTTAAAGATCCAGGAGAGATGTTCAGCTACTAGGAACTGCTAGCAAGCATAGCGCGAATGGCTCCGAGCTCAGACACTCTACAGCTGAGAGTAGACACTTGTGGTATGTGGAGTACAGATAAGCCAGGGGCAGGCCACGGCACGCTCCATGAAAGCTAGGAGGGAGTGAAGTTTCAGTGACCATCGCGAGAAAGGAGGCAGACAAGAGTAAGGCACACCTGACTCTTAGGACTAGCAGTCAGAACCAGGAGAAAAGGTTTTATTGCTATGCTGGTAGGTAAGAACAGATTTTACTTCCATCCATATAGTGTTCTCTAAAATCCAGTTTTCTGTTAACATTAATCCTTCATATATTGAGCCAAAACTAGTCCAGTTAAGCTGAACTTGGTTTTTCTGGAGATGAATTTTCTTAAATTGACACCCTAGATTTGGTGGCTCCCAAATGAAGGAAGTAAACACTTTAATTCTGTGACAATATATTTTTGCCCTTTAATTTTATTTCCTACCTTCCTTTGACCCATTTCCTTAAAACGATGGCTCAAAGTAATGTGTTAGAATCTTCCCAAAAGTCTGGGGGGAGGGAGGGTGGACCCTTTTGGGGAGGGGGAGGTGGGGGGTTTACCCTGAGCTGGGACTTGGTCTCCCAAAAAGCTAGTTCTAAAGGTTGTTTACTTTTCTAGGGAGGAGTCTGCTACTCCAGGCTAATCAACTCTCTTTAAAAATATAAAACAAAACAAACTCATCTGTCCAAATTTATGGCTAAAAGGTAAGCTGTTTACAAACTTAACAGGCGCCCAGAGTGCTTGGTATTGCCAGAGTAGACCGTGACGAGCTGTACCTGAGAACAAAAACTTTCATAGTCTGGTCTAGTAAAAGGCCATAGCCAGCAAAAAGTGATTAAAGCAGCTGGGTTCCCAGTCAACAGAACAGTATAATTGTAGAATCTTCCAAATGCTTATGCAAATGCCTCATAACTTTTTTTTTTTTTTTTGGCAGGAACATCCTTATGAGGACAACCTTTATCTGAGCCACTGCACTTCATTTTCACTACCATGTAGTTGTTAGCTGTTCTGCAGCTTGAATTAATCATTCAGTTTTATGAATGGACTTTTTAAATAAAATTTCTTTTGATTTCAACTTGGTTCTTCTGTCTTGTTTCGTTCACTTTCATGATATGGTAAATCAGAATTTTTAGCAGAGTTGAAGTCTTTCCCCTTTGTTCCTTTCTAATTCTTACTTGGATCCTTCTAAACTTAAAGTAATGGGGGTGCCTGGGTGTTGACTTCAGCTCAGGTCATGATCTCACAGTTTGTGAGTTCAAGCTGGGCTCTGTACTGACAGCCTTAGAGCCTGCTTCAGATTCTGTGTCTCCTTGTCTGCCCCTCCCTTGCTTATGCTCTCTCTCTGAAAAATAAACTAAAAAAATAAAGGAACAAGCAAGACCTTATGTAGGTGGGTAAAGAAAGGTAGAACAACATAAACACTTTAAAACAAAACCACAGGTTGAGTTGAGATTAGGGAGGAACAGTTGGTTTGAGAGAGAGGGAGACAGAATCTGAAGCAGGCTCCTGGCTCTGAGGGCAGTCCAGAGCAGACGGGGCTTGAGCCGCAAGATTGTGACCTGAGCCAAAGTTGGATGCTTAACCAGCTGAGCCACCCAGGCATACCAGGTGTTACTATAGAAGTTTTACACTATCAGGATCCTGGTTTAGTGAAAGCAAAAACTGGCTCTGAGCGCAGGAGTAAATCTTAGCCTAGTTAGAAGTAGGGTGTTTACAGTGGCCTCCGCAAGTTATTTATTGCCAGCTATCTCCGGCTCCTAAAATATCTGGAACCAGGATTAGATGAGTATGGAAAGGAAGGAAGTCTCCGTGTTTCCAAGGTAATCAGAAGCTTGGGCGCAATAATATAATCCCCTAGCAAATGCTTAACAAATGTCCCCTAATGCTAAAGAAAAGGTTATCCAGCCTCGATTTTAAACCTAGCAAAAGAGGGGTATTGAGCTGTGAATGTATAGGCAGCCTTCACTTACCACAGTTTTAAGAATCAAATTTTGAGGGGGCGTGGGTGGCTCAGTCAAACATCCCCGTTTTTGTTCAGGTCATGCTTTGAGGATGATGGCATCAAACCCTGTGTCAATGTCAGTCTGAGCGTTGGAGCCTGCTTAAGATTTCTCCCTCTTGCCCCTCTCCCCATTTCAGGCTCTTTAAAAAATCTAATTTGTGACATGAAGTTATAGCAACTCAGGCCACCAGACTGCAAAAAGCGTTCCTATTGAAAGTGAGGTTAATGCCTCTTCCGTTCTGTGTATTTTGCTACATGTTTTACAAATACAAGATTGTTAAAAAATCCCATACTCTTTAGATGAGGAAAATTACCTTGTTGAAGTTCTACAATCTCTGAAACAACCCAGGTCACAGTCCACCGGTGTTCCACCTGTTGCTTTGGGTAGCCACGTACCAAGTTGTGTGCATACGTGGTGGTCTTCCGCACTACGGTATATCTTGAGCGCTTGGCATTTCTCCTGTTAGCTGTTTGCATCCCCGGTGTATCTCCAGAACTCAGGTGCTCAGTAAGTGTTGAATAAATGAAGGTCTGATTTTGCCTCTGGGTTAACCACTTTTGTGAATTTGGTTAGAAGTAAAAAAAAAAAATGTCACTGCCCGATGTTCCCTCAGGTGAACTAATCCAGTTTTTGTTTTTTTAATATTTATTTATTTTTGGGAGACAGAGTGCAAGCAGGGAGGGGCAGAGAGAGAGGGAGACACAGAATCTGAAGCAGGCTCCAGCCTCCGAGATGTCAGCAGAGCCTGATACGAGGCTCAAACCCACAAAGTGTGGGATCGTGACCTGGGCTGAAGTCAGACGCTTGACGGACTGAGCCACCCAGGTGCCCCAAACTAGTCCAGGTTCTGAACAGCTAATCCCAGGCTCTGCCCTTCACAACTAGATCCCACGTTTTCAATTTTTTTTTTTTTTTTTTTAGAAAACAGTCGACAAGTTGTCTGAACTGTTTTTAAAAGATCAACTAGGAATCAGCTTTTAAGTTGCTTTCATTCCCTAAACCTAGGCTAGAGACCATGTTCCTGAGAATCTATAGGCATAAGGATTCCACACCTCTTTTGATCACTGCCTTTTATGTCTCACAACTGTCTATGAGAACTTGAAAGTAAGTTTTCCTTGTTGGAATGGAGCTAGTCAAATTGAATAGAAAGGTAAATAGAAGTAAAATACCCTAAAGAGGTAATTGGTATAATTCAATGACTAGAAAGATGGGGAACCACCTGACTCTAACTTAGGAGATGAAGGTGTCATGTCAAAAGTTTGGATTTTGATGTGATGGATTCTGAAACTTGTTTCTATATGTTTCTTTTTGAGAGACTGAGGGCCAGAGAGAGAGAGAGAGAGAGAGGGAGACCAGAGAATCCCAAGTAGGCTCTGCGCAGAGCCTAAGGCAGGACTCGAACTCACAAACTGGGAGACCATGACCTGAGCCCAAATCCAGAGTCAGATGCTTAACCAACTGAGCCACCCAGGTACCCCAGATTCTGACATTCAATCATGTTCTGCTTCAAGAGAAAAATAAGAGGCCCTAGATCTTCAAGGATCTAGAAAAGGGAGGGCCCCAAACAAGAGCAGGGTAGTGTGTCTAACATAACCAAGGAGATAGAAAATGTTACCAAAATTCATATCCTGCTCCATGCTGGAGCAGATTTTGCCCAGACTTGGGCATGAAATCCCTTGAAACTCTGATGGCCAATCAAACTATCTCATTCCAATCAAGACCATCTCAGTCTTCTGAATAGAGCTCTGGCACAATCATGATGAGGAAGTCCTGCGGAAGTAGACAGCAGGGAGAGAACAAGAAAAAGGCCTGCGGGCATTCTAGGCTTTTCTGTTGCTCCAAAGATTGGGAAAGGAGAGGCCTAAACTTCAGAGACCTTGCACCGAGGGTGCAGTCAGTTTGGGCCGCAATCTCAGCTCTCTGAATCCTGGGCCACCAGGGAGGGTGGGCTTCTTCAGATCATCCATGGCGCCTGGCTCTGCAAAAGGAGATTAAGCAGGTAGATCTCCACACTGCTCAAGCCCAAATTTCTTGCGTACCTCTCTCATACAGAGCTGTAGGGGAAAGAAACGAGACTGGCAGGGTTCCCTCCCCATCACCACCAAGCGGTGAACTTGAAGTGCTCAGCTCGTCACCCTGTCTCAAGAAGGAAGACACAGTGGAAGGC